AGCGCTAAGCTAGCAGACAATTAGCACAGACCTGACTTCGTCCTCCCGTCAATAAAAACTGGCGGCAATGTAGCACTAAGCTAACAGGCGGGCAACAAAGACGTGATTCCGTCCCCACTCCCCAGTCGACAAAAATACAAATAAAAAACTGAGTGCCCCGCCAAAGGAGCTGATCTAGGGGAAACACTGAAGTTGGACACCTTCTCTGCTTATTAATTAATAAATTGTATTAAAAAAAACCACTGATGTAGAACCAGAAACATCACCTTTTCTAAACAGGAGAATATGAGGAAATTTTCTGCATCCTTGCTTTATTTTAAGTAGAATTATACAAATGTGAACATTTGTCACGCACGTATTCGTACGACGTTAACAGGATTTAATCTAGCTCAATATAATTCAGAGGCAACACGAGCTATACGAACGTTAAACGAGCTGTAGATGATTCCTGAACCCTCCTCTCACCTCCGGTGTCGTATTTAATTCTATTTAGACGTGTCTCTGGCATGAAAAGAATATTTTCGACATTTAACCGAGGGTTGCTTTGAGGTTTTACACAACCCCAAAAAATAAACCTGCCACGCCACAAGCGTTTCGAAGTAGAAGAAAACCTGCCACATCCGACCCAGTTCGTTCCTCCCCTCCTTGTGTGTTAAAGGGGCATTCGTCACGTCCTCGTAACTATATTGTGAATTCAACTCGGCCTTCCTCTTTATGGTTTCTGCTACACTAGTGTTTCTCCCATAATACACTACAGAAATATCCAGACATATGTATATATATAAAAACATCAGTAGTACTTAGAGTAGAGTAGTAGAGTAACAAGTAAGAAGAAGAAACGTTATTGTACTTTATATCATCATCATCATCAGCCGTAGTTGAAGGAACTTTGCGTCGTGTTTAGGTGGAACCCAGCCGACTGGGAGAGGAGTTAGCGCCACAACCAGACGTTTGTGTCTCAGTAAATGTGTGTGTGCGTGTGTGTTACCGTCTGAATCAGTTGTGTGAGGTTCGTCCGACCAGCATACACTCTCTGGAGCTCTGATATTTACAGTAAATACCTGCGTGTACGTCGGCGGTTCGCGTGTCTCGTCTGTGCGGCGATGGCTTTGGGACATTTGTGTGAAATCGCTTCATCTGTTTGTTCGCGTATTGTGCTATTCACGCGTGGAATAAGCACCTCTGGCCAAAAGATACGAGGCCGCAGTACGGACTGCGGCTCCGTCCGTGAAACGGAGAGAAACGCGTTAAAGAGACGTTTTTGTTCTCGTACGTTTACGGCTGGTTTAAACTAAGCCAGCTACTGATTCTAAGTTCTGGCCTGCAGTTGAGTAAACCAGCTAATAAATAAAAGGACAGTTTGCACCTTTAGATCTTATGAGCTGCAACACGATGTGTGCACAGCTAAAAGTGAACCAGTTTCACACAACGCTGCCAGAAAGAAGGTATGGTGTTGCATCACAGAGATTGCACCTTTTTCTTTTTTTTTACAAGAAGCTGCCACCTCGATGACACAAGAAGAGAAAGAAATTATTTTATACCTTTTTCTGTCTCCCAACACCATCAACCTCAAGTCCCCAACCCCCTTCCCCCCCTGTGTTATCCTTTCTGTGTTGTTGAAGGGGGAGGCAGGACCTAGGTGGCGCTCTCCCCGGCTCCAGACGAGGCTCCGCTGGGTTTGAGCTCAGGCTGGTCAGACTGAGCCGTCTGCGGGGACGAAGCGCTCAGGGGGTCCCCTCTCTCGTCCCGCTCCTGGAGGTTGCGCTGGTTCCTGGCGGCCTCTGTCAGCATCTGCATCCGGCGCTCCTGGTACTCCTCCAGGCCTCGCCAGAGCTCCACACGCTCCCGTTCCCGCTTCATTTCCCTGAGTGGAAAGACACGGGGAGAAGACAGCATCAAAGAAGTGAGGGGCTAGAAAACACGGAGGGGCGTTTCAAGCAAAAATACAAGATAAAGGACCAGTTTTGTCCTCCCTTCACTGGCTCCCTGTGCAAACTAGAATAGATTTTAAAATTCTCCTGTTGACCTATAAGTTCATAAATGGCCTCTCACCCTCTTTATCTCTCTGAGCTGCTGGAACCATATGTTCCTTCTCAGACCCTGAGATCATCCGATCAGCTGCTGTTGTTCCAAAAACAAGGTTGAGGCTCAGAGGTGATCGGGCTTTTTCAGTCACGGGCTCCAAACTTTGGAACAACCTGCGGGAGAAGTGGAGGGGGCTTGTAGGTCCTCCTCCCCCTTAAATTTTTGAATAAAGTAAATGCATTTCCAGCATTTTGTTGTATCCTATTTTAACGGGTTGTTAAACATCTACGTTTACCTTCATTTGTAAACACTTGACTCAATAACTATTTTAGAGCAACAACAGGTTGTGTGTGAATAGAGCAGCGTCGATTCTGTCAGACATCCTCACCCCCTCCACACACACACCCCTCACGTTTCTGAGTCAAACTCTTCTCCGCTGAATTAATTCCTGCGTTGTTGCTCCTGCTGCTCCAACCTGAATTACGACTGCCTTCTCAGTTGTCCAGCTAATAGGGCAGAGCACCGAACCGAGGTTCTTTTCTAGCACCGACCAAACTGCACCGGTCGGTGTATGGATTGAAACGTCGCTCTTTTTTTCTGTGTCAAGTTTCGGTATTGGCTGTAGGTGTCATGTGGTTTCAGCACGCCGGCAGGTAAAACGCAGACATATGACAAACAGACTACGTGTTTACACCCAGAGCTGTATAGAGCTGCCCTACAGCTTGTATGTCTATGGGGCTGGTTACGCCCACAGACGGGGTTCACGTGTGCAGCGCGGGTGTTGTCACGCAACTTTCTTCTTACGAGCAGAAAGTTGTTCCGTGTTTTTCCTGCAAGAAGAGAGAAGGACAGCAGCCTCCCCCCTCCTCTCAGCATTAAAGTCAGTCTGTGTGTGTTAAACAGCCTGAATCAACATCTCCACGGCCCGACTCCGGAGCTGTGTCTGTGTTTCAGCTGGTAAGTTTACGTTACTACAGCTTAACACGTGCATCACTGAGAGTTAAACTAGGATCCATGTAACGCTAACTTTAAGATATTAGTGTGTAAATTTATTTTATCTACGTAGCTAGCTAAACTCAGGAGCTAACTAAAGATTAACAGTAAAAGATGAAGCTTAGCTTGTAAAAATGTGTTTATCCATCGGGTCAGCTGCTTAAAAAGTTCACCTAATGTTCACTGTTTGTTTATGTTCTCCTCACAGGAGCCTCTGACCCTGATGTGAGGACAGAGAAACAAAAGAACAGCGAGGTGGGGGTCACAGGACAGTCACAAACTTTGTTGTTAAAGTTTGCTGCTTTTTCTACAGTGGAGGCTGCATGGTGGAGGTAAGTAAACTTTAAAGGATTGTTGTTGACCAGTTAAGCTTTTATCTCTCAGCCTAGATAATGGTTTTTGATAAATAATACAACCATGTTAGTGTTGATGTTTACAAAATTGGTTCCGAAAAAAGAACTGTCCAGGAACTGACACCCAAGTGAAGGTACCGATACCAACTTTTTTTTAGAAAGGTACCCAGCCCTACCAGCGAACGACAATCCATCCATTTATTTTATTAAAGTAAATTGTCTTTTCTACATTTTGATTGTTATTTGGACAAATTAGCACAGTTGTTTTGATACTTGATTAATGTGAATAATACACAACATTTCTCTCGTTGTATTTTTTTTAGTGTAGCTAAGCTTTGTGATTTATTATGTCTGAAACGTATGCGTGACTTCACACCAGCAGTTGTGCACGCTCAGAGCTGTCTGGAAAAGTTATGGCAAGCCAAGTAGCCCACTAATAGCCACTTTCACCATTGGTCTGAAGACGCTTCATCCCCGCGGGACATGCCATCCACGTCTCTGCTGGGCAGGATCGTGTGCACGAGCTGCGCCATGCTGCAGCCATATTATCCACTCCACAGACTGGGCAACGTCTCCTCTCCTATTTTTAATAAATAATCAAAATAAAAATGCGCAATGATTTTGGACTTTAGGGGGCGGAGATTTGAGTTGCCACATCCGAGCAAACAGTTGTCGGAACGCACCCGGTCAAAATGTGAGCGTTCCCGGATCTTGTTCCGTCAGGATCCGGCTCAAATAAAGCACCGCCTGTCGGGGAGTTTATTGTATCGTTTCAAGTTTTCTTGTTCTAGTTTGTTGGCAGGCGTTGCGCTGGAAAAGGGGACGTGATGGTTTTAAATCAACTTGGTGCAGAACATTACACCCACGTGCTGGTGCAGACAAAACTGCCTCTTACCAAAACCATGTTTCTATAAACTGTTTAAACTCATAAATGAATGTTTAAAAGACCCAAAGTTTAAACCAAAAAAGATAAAATAGTTGACTGAAATGTTGGTATTTCTCTCTCTAACTGATCCGATCTTCACCCCGAAGATCCAAAGTTCATACTGCTTTTATAATTAATCTTATTTTCCTGTAGTCCTCATCATCCTCAGTATGAACAAATGAAAGCTTGACGTGGTCGACGGTCGGCCAGCGCCACTTAAAAAGTCTTTGCATGTGGAAGGAAAAGGAGCTCAGACGGGACTCCGGTTTGTTGTCCCGGTTGTCTCCGGAGACACAAAGACGGTGAGTCAGACTCACTTCTGTTTCTCCACTTTGTAGGAGGCGGTGAGGTCATCAAACAGTTTGCTGTTCATCTCCATGAAGGTCTTGAGCACGTTGTAGATCAGAGACACGATGGTCCTGCAGGAACACAGTGGGACAGTCAATCTGAGTCTCATGAAAAGATTCAGGCGGAGGAGAGGCAGCCTGCGTGTTTTTCAAAAGATCGACGTAAAATAATAACCAGCGGCTGGAAGTAACAACTTTACAGTTAAATAGTTTATACTGTACTTTTAAAACCACTATCACATTTACACTATGTATATTTACTAACTTCTTTGAAGACATTACATAAAGCAAACATCTAATACATTAAAAAATAAATAAATATTGACTGAACCAGCCGGGATATAAAATCTGTGCCGATATGTTAAAGTACTGATTTCATTTACCGTATTTTCCAGACTAAAAGTTGCACGTTTTTTTCAGTTTGGCCAGTTCTGCGATGAACAGTCCGAAGCGACGTGTATATATAGGCCGGTCACGATAACAAATTTTGCTGAGCGATTAATTGTCTCAGAAATTATTGCGATAAACGATAATATTGTTTGAAATTTAACAATAATTATTTGTCAAATTTTAGATAAATTTTATTTGTTTGGAGTGTAGTACCATTTTTGACCACCTGATGGCAGTATAAGACTGTTTGAACCAAAGGATGGATAGTTGAGCAGCGTGTCTCTGTAAGAAAAATGGGAGGGAGGGCCCTTGACGTGACATGGGCTGACATGGCAGACGCTCAGTGATTTGAGCTCTTTAGCATAGCATTTGTCACACAAAGCAAAAAAAAAAAGCTCTCAGCTTTTTTTTGCAAAGAAAAACTTTTTACACGAAGGCACGGGTTTCATCCGTGAATGTTGGAGTTTCGACAAAACGGAAGTTTATTTCTGAGGTCGGCCTGTTTAGCTTGGAGCTTAGCTTCTCAGCTTAGCTGCTTTTAACGATCCAAAAAATGTGATTTTGGATCGTTGAAACAGATTTTAATGAGAAAAGAGAAAGGGAGGGGTCAGTGAAGAACACCGGAGTTGAGCCTTTTGTCGTCCAGTGTCTTCAGTGGAACGAGAGAGACACGAAGAAACAAAGCCGATAAATGAAAATGACGATCATTTTAATTTATCATGCAATTAATTGATTTATTATCGCGACAGGCCTAGTTATATATGTTTTTTCCCTATTCATGACACAATTTTTAACTGACGGGTTAGATGTTCATCCATAATGACATGAACCAAAGAATAAACATTTCCATTTGCAGCCGTGAGAGGTCTCCTACGCTTTTGACAACTACAGTATATCCTGTTCCTCTTCTGCTAACCCCCCCGCCCCATTATCCTCCGGAGTTGTTCAGACGCGACACCGAGAGGAACTATTCAATTAATTCAGTGATTTGGAATGAGATTGGTGAATTTACTGGTAACTTGCTTGTCGGACTCGTTGGCTCGTTATGTTAATTAACTGTTCAGGATCCCAGGTACGTTCTGTGAGTTATTGTTATTTCAGATTAAATTCTTGCACTTTGTGAAATACACGTCTAAATAAATGCGACTTATACTCTGAAGCGACTTATATATGTTTTTTTGTTTTCATGAGGCATTTTTTGACTGATACTCCGGAGTGACTTATAGTCCGGAAAATACGGTAATACCCAACTACAGAGTTTATAATTGGTTATTTTGCTGACAAATACGTTTCGTCACAATTTTTATCAGTTTGTTTTTTACAAAAATGAGACCCTAGCTAAAAAAAAATATTTAAACTGTGGAATAAAGAACACAACTTCAATCAGCTGTATTCATATTTAACAGAACTAGAGTTGACGTATTTTTGTTGATAGGAAAGACGGGACGAACCGGAGCGATATCCAATCAGAACTAATCTCTTGGACAGATTATAAACTGTGGATAATCTGCAACAATCTTCAAGGAGTCACTTCGCTGACTGAAAACACACTTTTCATTCTTCAGCACCATCAGAAACTTTACTTGTATAACAGTTAGACAATGTGCACAAACACCGACATCCTCTTACATTCAGTAGACGAAAATAAATAATAAAGTGTCTGTTTTCCAACAAACTAGAAACAAAGCTCGTAAAAATACACCTAAATGATCAGAACCTGAAGTTCTTCTGGCCGATCCATTCTTCAGGGGGCGCCACAGCGAGCGAACTCACACGACGGATATGGAAATTGTTTTGTGCTTGACACCCTTCCTGACACAACTTGTGCTCGAACCTGCAGCCTCAGGATTATGAGACCACTGCCCTGACCGCTGAGCTACCGCACCCCTCTCCCAAATCAGAACCTAAAGTGGAAACCATTAAAGAAAGCTGTGTTTGTGTGTGGCACTAACTGGTTCCAGTGCTCCTTGGAGACTCTGTAGAGGGTGGCGAACACCAGCGGCAGGATGACCTGACAGTTCTCCTCGATCAGACTGAGGATGTACTCGTTGTTCCAGAAGTAGAGAGCTCGTTCCGCTACCTGAAACACACAGAGATGAAAAGTCTAAACACTGGCCTCCCTCTAATAAATCTGAAGACAAGCAGATTGCTGTAATCCTGTTTAACTTAATCCTGCGTTCTTTCAAAGTGGTTTTAATCTGGGTGTGAGTGGTGTTTGTGGGTATTTCCCCACTTTATCACCTGGAAGTGAGGGCTGGAGATACAGGCTGCTATCTGCTTGAAGAGCGGATCCTGGATCCTGATGAACTGCGACGGCTCTATCACGTCCAAGATCTCCTCGATCTCCCCCAGGAACATCACCTGAACAAGCCCCCGACGCAACGACGCGTGCATTTTAAAATACAGACAACGACAAGAAGAAGGCGGGACAAAGGAAATCAAAGCTGCTTTATACTTCACCTCTTTCTGGGTGCAGGTTTTCGGCCAGTACTTGAGCAGCCCTCTGATAATCTGCAGAGCACAAAGAGTCACACATCAACGTGTGCTGGTGGTCATCTGGACCATCATCTCTCTGTGTTGTTTTATTTTATTTTTTATTTAGACTCATTTTAATTAAATAAAAAACAAGTATGATCACAGGTTGTCGTTCGTATGATCAGTTCGGTCCAGTGCTTAATTTGAGCCGGATCCTGCCAGAACAGGATCAGGGAACTCTCTTATTTTTACTGGGTACATACCGGTAACTTTGCTTGAATCCAGTAACTCTTAGGCTTACAAATAATAAAGTTATGAACGAATAAAACTTATATTGGATATGTAATCTGAAAATAATTACATAAACACTCATTTTAAACATAACAGTCACTTATGAGTTTCCTAATCTCACATCAGATGCCCCTTCAAGTAAGCATTTCCGCTTCTACCCTTAAAAAAATCTCTGCCCCTAAAAGTACAAAGTCATGGGCAAATGAATTAAAAATACAAAAATATAATTAAATATCACAACTAATTTGCAGATCAGTTTTACATTTTAAGTGGGTCATTAATAAAATTTTGATTTATTAAAAATAGGAGAAATGTTTGATGGGTAATCACGTGACGTACGTCACATTTCAAAACAACAATTTGTCAAAATAACAGCGATCAAAATGTAGAAAATAAAGTCCAATTTACTTTCATTAAAAAAAAGTTTTCTCATTGTACAACTAAACAACCGAGAACTGAAGCACATGAAGGCAGCAGCAATGGGGATAGTACTCGATGCGGGGGGTGGGGATGGGGGTGTTAGGATGCTTGAGAGAAGCGGAGCATGCTCTATTCACACAAGGAGAGCTGTTGGTCAGGTTGCTCTCTAAAATAGTTATTGAATCAAGTGTTTACTTATGTAGATAAATGTAGATGTTTAACAACCTGTTCAAATACACCAGAATGCAGGAAATGGCATCTACTTTATTCAGTATTTTCTGGGGGAAGACCCCCCCCGGTCATTTGTGTTCTGGCATCATTTGGTTTACAAATTAAGCACGGGTTAAATCCATTTGAAGGAAAACTTTCAACATGAATCAACAGAGTAAATGCTGAACTACAAGTAGAACAACTAAATGTAGGTCTCAGATGGTTTGGTGGAGGTTTCAGAAACTAATGCTTTCATTAACAAAACTAAGGCAACAGACAAAAGGATAAAACTGTTCTGGGAAGAGTGATGACTGTGGGACAACAAGTGTGCTGATTACTGATGAAATACAGGTGGTAGAAGGTCCTTTTTACACAACGCTGCTTAAAGGTAATCGTAGCTTTTCTGTTCATCTACATGACAACAGTGGTCATTTTCTCTGACAAGCTTCTCGCAGATTGTCGTGTATTGGAAACGCCTGGCATGGCTCTGAAACTGCCCGTGCGTACTGCAAACAGCTGCAGTCAAAGGTTTTTCTGTCCGAGTAGATGAACAACAGTAGTGAAGGAGAGTGCTGTTTGTGCTGCTCACCCTTTTCAATGTGTAGGAGCAAACCAACCACATCCTTGGTCCAAACCAACACTTTGGATGTAATTGTTTTCATACTCGAGACTGAAGCGTCTGTACATATGCGTCCGTCGTTGAAATTCAGAAATTGCGGTGCCGAGTATTGACCTGGCATGGAAACTACAGCAGATTCAACGAGCCCGACTTTACCGTGTAATTGTGTATCTCTTTCACGATCAACATCAGAAAAACGCTAACGTTTCCAGAGATCGTTCACGTTTAAACAGGGCCGAAGAGAAGCCAGAAACAAGGACTGTAGAGGACATCTGGTGGTATAAATACAGAACAAAAACTCAACTAGACAGAAAATAAACAAAAGAAACCAAAACAAAGATCGAAACTAAACTCTCTTTAGCTCAGTGTCTGTAAAACTGAGTTGTCGTCATTTTTGTGTAAACCCAAGTTGCTTAGCGGTGGCAGCCATGTTGGGTTGACTCAGCGTTTGGTTGTTGGATATACATCCAATGAATACTTTCAGAGAGGTTCATTAAAACCTGTGCATGAGACGGACTGACAAGAACACAAAAAGGAGATTACATGATCACCCACCTTTCATGGCAGCAGGCGATAAAAACCATAAAGAGTTGTGTTAACGCTCAACAGATCTAATCCACGTGCAGACTTAGATACTAATGGTTTGTCAGTTCAACATTATAAGTGACTTCTAAAAATAAGTCGGGTGAGCATCGAGGGGGCCTAAATATGAATAAAATCCTGTGATCATGTTATTCTTAGGTGCATTGTAGGAAGTGCAGCTCTGATGTGAAAAAGCAATCTTACATATTCAGTCACTGTAGCATCTTTCTCCATGAACTGCACCACACAGTAGGCCAGCTGTAAAACAGAGAACAAGTTACGCACAAAATGAGGTGTTAATGTATAAAATAATAAATGGATTGTACTTATATAGCACTTTTCTAACTTATCAAGATACTCAAAGAGCTTTACACTACAATCTGTGCCTTCACTTACCCGTTCATACAGCACCCTACTAGATCCATACAAAGAATAATCAGTGCTTCAGATCACATTCATACACCGATGGGACACATGAGGGTTCAGTGTCTTGCCCAGGGACACTTCAGCATGAGACTGCTGGCGGAATCGAACCCCCAACTCTTGCAAAGGAGGACGACTGCTCTAGCCACTCAGCCACAGCTGCCCCATAATAGTAATAATGAAGTAAAAAAAATACACCTGATTGTAGGCCTGTCACTATAACAAATTTAGCTGAGCTATTAAGTGTCTCAGAATTTATTGCGATAAACGATAACATTGTTTGAAATTTGACAATAATTAGTAATTATTGTCAAATTTAAGAAGAAATGTTGGTTAATTTGTTTTACGTGTAGTATTTTTTTTGCCCACCGGATGGTAGTATGACTGTTGGACTGAAGGATGGATAGTGAGGGATCAGCAGCGTGTCTCTAAGAAAAATGGAAGGGAGGCCTCTTGACGTGACATGGGTTGTCTCTCCTTCCTTTTCTTCCGTTCCCAAAATGGCGGCTGCTCGGTATGTTTTGAACTCTTTAGCATAGAATTTTTCACACAAAGCTTTTAATTAAAAAAAAAATCAGTAAACAAGTTCTCAGCTTCTTTTTGCAGGAAAACAACTTTTTACACGAAGGCACGGGTTTCAACCGTCTGTGTTGCATCCCGATGTTGTCAGAGAGGGGTGGGTGGCAAGGAAACGCCTGAGCGTGAGGGAGACGGAGCGCTACCTCTGTAGCTTTTTGGCTAACATGTCTGTATTGTGCACGGCTTAGCGCTACGTCAGTGCCGGCAGTTGTTGACGGCGCCCTCCTTGTATGATGGTAGAGGGTGAACGCTGCAAAGACCAGATCTGTTTGGATAGGTTTTTTTTTTTCCTTTTAATAAATGAAATAATTTAAAAACTGCTTTTTGTTTTTACTCCGGTTATCTGTGTCTGACATCAGCACTTAATGAACTTAGTGTGTAAGTGTGACAGAAATGCAGAAACAGAAGAAATCTGTGAGAGAGGATACTTTTTCACTGCACTATATTTATAAATTCTTGTGTGCGTCTACATAAACGTGCATTTTGTATTTTATTAACTAACGGCAGCGTTTCACACGCTACACTCCTTCCAGCCGTCTCTCAGCGTTCATCCCTCAGGATTAATCACCGCTGAAGATCGGAAGGAGACGTTTTCCGACTCTGAAAGTGATTATTGCTACGTGTCCTCTCATCTGAGCTGCAGTCACTTCCTATTATTCAGGGTGTGTGAGTACGTGTGTGTTTTGCGGTTGCCCCCTCCACTCGGGCCGGTTGCCGTGGCGAGTGGGCACCGTGGCGACGGTGTTTACCTCGGAAGGACTGATGTCACACGTGAATTTCAGACCTGGCGTCTCTTCCTGCGTTTCTCTTTAAATCAAGACGTTCGACAGGTTAAAGGTTCTGCTCTCGTTACATTTATTCAAACTGAAGCGGTTCACGTTGGTTTCGTTCTCTGCTCCTCCACGAGGCGCTCGAATCATCGAAGGCTGCTCCCATGTACTTGTTTTGTTCTTGTCCAGCTACTTTCTACCGTTCGTTATTCCAGAGGTACAGTTAAGCGAAATGAGGATTTAAAAAAAAAAAGAGGGAAGAGTTGAACGCAGATCTGTTGAGAAAAGCTGGAAAAAAACTGTGGAACAAAGAAAAGGGAGCTGAGAGTTCAAACTATGAAACGTTGTAGAGGCAAATATGTGGAGGACGTTGTCACGTTGGGTTCTGTTGGTGCTGGAGGCGCCGATGTTTGACTGACGAGTAAAGTTTGTTGAAGCTGTTAGATTTATTCACCATGTTCTGATTCTGAAACACTTCAGTCAAGTTTTATGTGGTGATTTCCTAAAAGGACGGTTCAGACGTGTGGAAACAAATATCTTACCTGTAGTAGATAGCTCATTGAACAGCTCAGTTTAGACTGGACTGATGAGCTCATCATAACATGATGAGTCACAGTTCAGCAGGGTGCTTTTTATTTGACAACACGTACCGTCTGATCCCCTCTCTGAGGAAAAGAATAAAAGAACTCTTGACTATTACAAAATATTTCCACTATTTTATTTTATTTTGAAAGGACTGCAAACTAGATGCTATGATCACCTTCCACATTGATCCACTGGACCGGTGAAAATGAACGAGTTTAAAGACCCCCGGCTAACAGAATTAGAAGCAGCACATGTCTCTGTACCTGAAGCCTCTGTTTCATTAGAGAGTTTTCCAGGTGCAGCATTTGCAGTCAGCAAACTTTAATTCACAAAAAGTTCATGTGAGCATGAAGCAAAAAGCCAGAAATGGTCCTGAAACGCTCAACGGCAGCTGAAGGTAGCGCTCATTAAGATGCTTTCTCATTTGATGCTCCTGCAGGAGTAAAGGATGAATTAGGAATGTTTGGAGCAGAGACTGATAGGAGGACCGAGGGGAAGGGGGCTGTGGGGTACAAAAACAACCGAACGGCCGGAGGGTGGAGTCAAATATTTGTAGAAAAATCGAACAAATACCAACAAATTTAAAGAGCGATTTTGCCATAAAGGCTCGTCCCTACTGGCAAATAACCAAAGAGATCTTTGAAATCTTTGATGTCGATATAAAGGTTTATAAAATACGGCTCACGTGAACTTCCTTGAAATCTTGAGCCGTTTTTCTGTCAGCAGTGATTCATTTTGGGCTTTTGCCGTGCTCAGATAAGCCGTTAGCTCATCATTCTGGTCAAAACTGTCAAACTGAGGTCATTAAAGAGCCACCTACAACAGGTAAGATATTAATTGCTCATATCTTTTTCATATCTACTTTAAAAGAGCTCATGACTACAAGTTCTTTCTTATTAAAGATCTGTGATTACATATAAACCCTGTTAGTCCTTGCTTCAAGAGCTCGTCTTGCAGTTCAACAATAAACCTTCAGACTACAGAAACGAATCACTTCAATAATTAAGAACGCTCCAAGATGATTTAAACTTAATATTCTGGTATTTACACTGAGAAATGGGTCAGACCCGCTCCACTGTCCCCAGTGACCCTGTGCAACCGAGTTGTGCGTTTGAATAATGGATGTGTGTGAACCGGTGGGAGGGAGGTGTGGAGGAAATGTAGGACGCAGCGATGCTGAGACCCAGAGCCAACAAACCGCAGACAAGTTTGTGAGGAACAAACTGTTCCCGCTGCACAAACAGCTGACGTGAGACAAATAAAACACACCGGCACCCACAACAGACAGCCGGACGCGTGTCATCAAACATTATGATCATCACACACACGTTTGTCTTTCTATCTTTACAGGGACTTTGCAATTACTTCCATTCATTTCTACAGCCTAACCCTGACCATTACCCTAAACCTAACCATTACCAGTACATAACTAACTCTAAACCTAACCAATACCAGTATAAGCCTAACACTAAACCTAACAATTACCAGTACATAACTAACTCTAAACCTAACCATTTCCAGAAGATAACTAACTAAATCTAACCATTTCCAGTATATAACTAACTAAACCTATTTCCAGTACATAACTAACTAAATCTAACCATTTCCAGTACATAACTAACTAAACCTAACCATTTCCAGAAGATAACTAACTAAACCTAACCATTTCCAGTACATAACTAACTAAACCTAACAATTTCCAGTACATAACTAACTAAACCTAACCATTTCCAGTACATAACTAACTAAACCTAACCATTTCCAGTACATAACTAACTAAACCTAACCATTTCCAGTACATAACTAACTAAACCTAACCATTTCCAGTAATTACCTAACCCTAAACTTAACCCCTCCTCAATTCACACCTTAGTCCTAAACCTGACCCACCAACATCTCTTCTTCTCATGTGGTCCAGGCTTTGGGCTCCATAAGGAGCATTCAGTCCTCACAATGTGCTATGTGTTGAAAAAATGGGCCTCACAAGGTAACAAACACACACACACACACAGGTTTGTTTTGCTATCTTTGTGGGGCCTTTGCATTGACTTCCATTCATTTTTCATTCATTTCTATAGCCTAACCATGACCTTTATCCATAACCTAACCATTACCAGTACATACATAACCCTAAACCTAACACATCCTCAATTCACACCTTAGTCCTAAACCTAGCCCCTAACCCACCAACGGGACTTCTTCTTATGGGGCCCGGGCTTTGGGCCCCATAAGGAGCAGTTGGTCCCCACAATGTAGTATAAGTTGGAAAAATGGGCCTCACAAAGTAGCATAAACAAGGACACACACACACACACACACACACACACACACACACACACAGAGCATTCCTCAGAAATGACTCAATTCTGCCTCCTAGTGGCAAACCTGACACATTGCAGAAATCTCTACTTCCTGTTTTGGTTATGTCAGTTAAAATTATTGGTGATTTTCGTACTTTAGAGTTTAATCTTCATTAATACGTTTTTCTTTTCTTGACTAAAATAGGATCTTCTAATGTTTTCTACAGTTTAACACACCTGGACACTGAATAAATTCAATCTTTGCACCCCCTCACTGCTTTGTAGGTGAACGTTTCAGACTCAGATCTACTGGTGCTCATGGTGTGTGCTGGGGATGACTCTCAGCTACCACCACAACAGATTGGGGCTCAAAATCTATAAAGATGACAGAGTTGTAGCCATTTTCATTTGGTAAGGACAGTCAACTGTGGCAGCCATCTTGAACTGAGCTTACTCCAAAAGTTCATTGTTGAAAAGACACATGAAATTGATAATTTCTGGAAGTTTGATTCAATTCTGTTCAGCGGTTTATGAGATATTTTGCTAACAGACAAACAGGGTTGGCACATAGTACCAAAGTTTTAAACAAGGATCTTGTGTTAGAGCTCAGAGTGTGTGTTGGGGATGACTCAGCTAACACCACATCAAACTGCAACTATATTTTTGTTAAAGTGACTGAGTCGTAGCCGTTTTTGTTTGCTAAGACTAATTAGCTGTGACGGCCATCTTGAATCGGGTTGACTTATAAAGTTAATGAGTTGTAGATGTACATCCAGTGTCTTTGAGTTTTATTAACAACCACTGTTTCTTGAGATATTTTGCTAACAGACGTTTCATGGCAGCACTCTGACAGAAAACACAAGAGGAAAGAACTCCCCAGCTTCCATCTTTAACAACGCATCAAATATTTTATTTTTCGTGGTATTTGTACAACAAAACACGAAAATTTTCCCAAAAACGTGAGACTCATCTCTTTAAAAACCAGCGATGCGTTTGAGTACAGCCTCATTAAACGTTGACGTGTTTGCCTTTGACTCACCTGTGCATGGAAGATGGAGAGGGACTTGGCAGTGTGAAGGGGGATGAGGACTCGCACCAGGAACTGCTTGTGCTCGGCCTTCAGGGGCAGAGCGAAGCCGTTGATGATGCTGAAACAGAGCAGAAAAAGAACGTAGCTCGCTGCGGTGTGTTCGATGACTTCACTGCTGTCACGGTAAACGCCACTCTACCCGTTTGTTTTTGTAATTATTTCTACCTTAACGTGTGTTTTGTCTTTCCTCCTATAGAAAGTACACCTGAACTTGACATTCTGTTCGTTCCTCCTTCCTGTTCCTCTCAAACCCAGCCGGTCGAAGCAGATGACCGCTCGTCCTGAGCCTGGTTCTCATGGAGGTTTCTTCCTGTGAAAAAGGGAGTTTTTCCTCTCCACTGTTGCCTTTATGCTTGCTCAGGATGGGAGACTGCGACAAACTGAAGATTCAAGGCAATCTGCTGGCTACGGGTGCCGTTTGTAAAGTTACACGGTCAAAAGTTAACAGCAATATTTTAGTTTATTTAGTCTTTCATAAGTAAAAACGTGTGGGTTTTTTCAGTCATATTTTCACCATGTCATTCATATATTTATAAATGTCATAGTTCCAAACTAAATATTTAATTTTAAAGCTAAATATTTACTTTACAAACTAAATACTTAACTTGCGACTTAAATAGTTAACAGGCTAAATATTTATCTCCACATTAAATAATTTGTTTATAAACTAAATGTTTATGTCCAAGATAAATGTTTAATTTACAAACTAAACAGTTAGTTAGTGAACTAAATATTTATTGTCCAAGCTAAATATTGAATTTCCTAACTTAACATTTAATTTCTAAACTATTTAATTTGCTAACTAAATATTTAGCTTGGACCTAAATATTTATTTTCCAAGCCAAACATTTAATTTTGAAAATAAATATTTAATTTTCTAACTAACTATTTAACTTGCAAGTTAAATATTTAATTTGTATATTAAATGCTTAGCTTGGACATAAACATTTAGTTTGTCAACTAAATATTTTGTGTGGAACTAAATATTTAGCTTGCTAACTAAATACTTAACTTGCAAGTTAAGTATTTAGTTTGTAAATTAAATATTTAGTTTGTAAACTAAATATTTAGTTTGTAAATTAAATATTTAGTTTGGAAATATGACATTTATAAATGTATGAATAACATGGTGAAATATGACTAAGCTACTTGTTTCCTTATGAAAGGCTAAATAAACCAAAATATTGCTGTTAATTTTTGACAGTGTAACTTTACAAACGGCACCCCATAGCTGGCTTCCTTAGATAGATAACTTCTACTAACTGGCTTTTTATGTTTGTGAATGTTTCTGTTCAGTGCCCTGAGACGACTTGGAGCTACAGAAATAAACTGAATGGAACTAAACTTGGAACAGAGCAGCAGCTGAGCTCGTTTCTGTAAAACTGATTGATGTGTTTGTCTCCCTGTCTGCCTCCATCTTTGTTTGACAGAACATTCCTTCAATATTTTCCTCCCGCTGCTCCTCTAATCTGTTCCCTGCTCTTCGCTCATCTTTTTCTTTCTGAATGCCTCTTCCTGTCTTGTTCTGCATCCCCTCCATTCCTCCCCTCTCTCTGTGTGTGGGAGGAGCTAAAAATACCTCTGTTACCAACAACATGAATACAAACCTCTCTCCTTCCTGCACCTCTGACTCACTCATCCTCCCCTCCATGTTTTGCTCTCCTCTCACCTTGAACTCGTCTCCCTCTCCCTCCTCTTCCTCACCACAGCAACCTGCTCAAGCATCTTATGTCACTACACGTGTTTTCACTTCGTTTCATGATCGTTACCTGACGATATGGCGGTTGTGAATTAGACACAGAAATACACTTATGTTCGAGGAAAACCGCAATGCTTTAACCTTTGAACTTTTACGCTTGTATAAAAATAAATACTGGTCGTGATCAATTTATTTACATGTACTCGCGTTGGTTAAGTATTTTTTTTGTATATTCTTGCACATCGTCTGTATTTTAGGGATTGCGTATTTGTGCGATTTCATCTGTAGCTAGAAATTTGCTGAACATCACCCTTCATGTTGCACACCAAAGGAAAAAACAAAACCTCACGATGTGCAAGTGCTCACAGTATGTGATGGAGATGACGCTCAGCTACTACCACACCAAATATCAGCTCAATATATATAATAATGACCAACTTAGAGACATTTTTTGTGTTTGCTAAGGCGGATTATCTGTGGTGGCCATTTGGACTCCAAAAATTAATCAGTTGTAGACATACGTATAACAATGTACATTATATTCTCCATTGGTTCAAAAGGTATTTTGCTAACAGATAGGCCTGTCACGATAACAAATTTTGCTGGGCGATTAATTGTCTCAGAAATTATTGCAATAAACGATAATATTGTTTGAAATTTGACAATAATTACTAAGTATTGTCAAATTTAAGAAGAAATGTTTGTTAATTTGTTTTGCGTGTAGTGCCTTTTTTGACCACCAGATAGCAGTATAAGACTGTTTGAACAGAAGGATGGATAGTGAGGGAGCGAGCAGCGTGTCTCTTTAAGAAAAAAGGGAGGGAGGCCCCTTGATGTGACATGGGCTGTCTCTCTTCCATTCTCAAAATGGCGGACGCTCTGTTTGAGCTCTTTAGCATAGCATTTTTCACACAAAGCTTAGAATAAAAAAATCACTAAACAAGTTTTCAGCTTTTTTTGCAGAGAAAAACAACTTTTTTGGGCGGGGGGAGTGGTGGCGCAGAGGTTAGAGAGGTGGGCCTGTGATGGGAAGATCGCCAGTTCACGCCCCAGTACCGACAACATCAATATTGTGGGTGGGGTAGGTGAAGCACCCACACCTGCCCCCACCCTCATTCGTCCCACCCTGGGCCAATGAGCAAGGCCCTCAACCTGCTCCCTAAACAGGTCTCTCTTGAAAATGAGTTCTCGTGGCTCAATGAGACTACCTGGATAAATAAAGGGTAAATAAATTTAAAAAATAAATATAATTTTTACACAACGACACGGGTTTCAACCGTGAATTTTGGAGCTTTGACAAGAGGGAGTTTTTTTTTTTTTTTTTTTACAAAGGTTGGCCTGTTAGCTTAGCTCGTAGCGTAGAGAGGCCCCAGCTGGGTTTGAACCCGTGACCTTTTTGCTGTAAGGCTACAGCGCTAACCAACTGTACCACCATGCAACCCATCTGAACCAGCACCGTTTGGAACGATTTAGTGTTAATTAAAGCTCGAGAATGAGTTTTTGAAATCAATCGGTCTTAATGGGTCTGCATTAAAAAAAGTGTGTATAAAAACAACAAACTGTAATTTAAAGGAAAATATAACGACTTTCCTGACAGTTCTGCCTCACAGACTTCCTGTCTTTAGAAGAGGACGTAAATCTGTGAACATCAAGGCCGTCTGCGTTTGGACCAGTAGAATCTGTTGGTAAGCGGCAGCTACCTGGTTGGGTAAATCCTGAACGTTGGTTAAATGCAGGCGAGCTTTATGCGGACGAGGTTGGCTAAAGTAAAACGGGTGCACAGTTGAAGCTAGCGCTTTAATGATCCCTGCAATGGATCTAAAACGAACCGAAGTCATGGAAACTAAAGACAGCTGACTTTTGTTTGTTTGTTGGAGTTGTTTTTGTTTGTGAGCCAACAGTCGTCAGCACTGCCTCTCCGCTCTGATGAGCTCCTAACTCGTCCTGATAATTACGTTTCAAACTAAAATAAACGAAACAACTAAGAGGTTTTTGTTGTTTTTCTTATTTTGGCTAAACTCAGGATTCTTTAGGATGATCATTCGCAGAGAAGTCTGATTGTAAATTTTTTTACCTCACGATGACAGGAAGCACCTTCCCCAGAACGGATAGAAATAAAACAAACTAGACAACGCGACATCGGTCCGTCCGATTGATTAGTGCGTGTTGATCAGTTTGGATTCCCTCCGCGCTCTCGCTTCAGCTTTTTAGTTTTCCTCAGAGAAAATGCACAAACTTCTGACTCGCGTTTCATCGCGTGTCTCCATTTTTAAAACCACTTCGGTTTAGAGATGAATCTGTTTCATATTTGAGTTTTATCTCTAACCTCGATGGACAGATGTGTTTGTTGCACACAAACCTGCCGAGGATTTCCAGCAGCTCTGCCACTCCGTTGAAGTGCTCAGTTTCATAAATGAACCTGAAAAACATGAGAAGAACGAAACAAAAAGGTCGTTAGACCACGTTTTATTACTGCAGCTGAAAATCTGGTTGGCATCAAAAAATAAAATCATGTGAAATTTCATTTCCTGCTAAACCGCAGTGTGAATTCTTGTAGCTAAATAATTTTGCTGAAAGCTGCTGAACAATCTAAAGAAGCAGAAAGTAGCTAAAAAGCCAAGATTTACAGAAAATTGCTGGAATGTAACTGAGAAAGCAAAAAAAAAGCTAAAATTAGCCGAAATAAAAAACTGAAATTATCAAAAAGTAGCTGCAAGTAGATTAAGAATGCTGAAATTAGCTGAAAAGTAGCTAAAAAGCTAACATTTACAGGAAATTGCTTAAATGTAACTGAGAAAGCAGGAAAAGTTAATATTAGCCAAAATAAAAAGCTGAAATGATCTAAAAGTAGCAGAAAGTAGCTAAAAGCCAATATTTACAGAAAATTGCTGAAATGTATCTGAGAAAGCAGGAAAAAACTAAAATTAACCAAAATAAAAACGGAAATGATCAAAAAGTAGCTGAAGGTAAATTAAGAATGCTGAAATTAGCTGAAAAGTGGCTAAAAACATTAACATTTACAGAAAATTGTTTAATGTAACTGAGAAAGCAGGAAAAAAGCTCAAATGTGCCTAAATAAAAAGCTGAAATTATCAAAAAGTAGCTGAAAGTAGCTAAAAGGCCAACATTTACAGAAAATTGCTGAAATGTTACTGAGAAAGCAGTAAAAAAAAAAAGCTAAAATTAGTCAAAATAAAAAGCTGAAATGATCAAAAACTAGCTGAAAGTAGATTAAGAATGCTGAAATTAGCTGGAAAGTAGCTAAAAAAAAGTAACTTTTACAGAAAATTGCTGAAATGTAACAGAGAAAGCAGGAAAAAAAAAACGCTATAATTTGCCCCCCAAAAATTTACGGGTAAATGAGCAAAGAGAAGCTAAAAGGAGCTGAAAACAAATGAGAAGCTGAAAAACAACAGCTGAAATGAGCAGGACAAAAGGTTTTAAACAGCCCAAAGAGTTTGACGGATGTGAAGAGCTCCATTCATTTTCAATGAGAAAAACGTGGCCGGCAAAGTTAAAATCTTTCAAAAAGTAAAACTTGCACAAACACCTAAAGTCAGAGCAGAATAGCAGAAAAATTACAGAACGCGTTACGTGTTGACAAACATAGGGAAGAAAAAAAGAGACTGCAGGCATCACTGAGCCCATCCTGACAAGACAGTTCATGATGTTCAAACATTAAAAATAACCTTCTTTAAAACGCCGTCCGTTGGTTTGTTTGGTCGTACCTGAGGAAGATGTTGTTGATCTGTTTGCGGATGTAAGCTCGAAGGCCCAGTAATTTTCCGTAAACACGGTGCAGGATGGTCTTCAGGTACTCCCTCTCCCTGGGGTCCTCGCTGTCAAACAGCTCCAGGAGCTACAAACACACACACAGCATCATCCCTCCTGCACCTGCGAGGACTGCTGTAACGCTGAACTCCACGCTCCGACGAACCGTCTCTTCCTCTAAACCAGGGGTCTGCAACCTGCGGCTCCGGAGCCACATGCGGCTCTTTGGTCCCGCCGCAGCAGCTCCTTCAAGCTTTGACCAAAACTATCATAAAACTAAAATTTATAGGAACCCAGAACAAAAAAAAAATACTAGTTTTAGCAGCTTTACTGTCAATTCATTTGCAAATATGTGGATACTAGTACTAATACACAGAGTAAAGTATACTCACTTTAACTTTAGTTCTTCAAAGTAGGATACTCAATTACTCCACAATAAAAAAAATGCATAAACCTGCACCGTTCATTGTTTTAGTTTTGTAAAAATTGGCAAAATGACCATCTGCAACCTGAAGAGGAAGAAATGGATAAAGACGACGGATGGATGGATGGATGGATGGATGGATGGATAGATGGATGGATGGAATCCAGTATTTTCTTTTGTCTTAAAATGTAAAATGATCAATAAATGTTAAAATCATCAGATGTTTTTACTTTTATTACTTCACACCTACTGTCCAGAAAAGCCCCCTCTAACAAACTTAAAGTGGCCCATGGGCCACCAGTTGATAATGATAATTGTAGCAGGTTTTGCACCTCTGGACACGTTTAGAGAGCTGGGTGGATTTACCTGCAGGACGAACTTCTGGTCGATGTAGCGTTTGGCCATGGAGGGCTGGAAGTCCGGACTTTCAAGAAATCGCAGAAAGAACTCGTAGACCAGCTGAGGGCGGAGAATATGGAAAATGGTTATTGTGGTTTTAGTTATCGAGGAATATTTCAGTCACAAGTCATTTATATTTTTGAACTGAGCTTAAAAAATAAAAAAGTATGTGGATTTCACGCATTTGACTCATTCTGTTGTGATAAGTTTGGGTGAAAGCTGATCCTTGATTTATTTTTAAAAAAAAGTAAAAAAAAAAAAAAACATCGTCAAGAACTGAGGACTTTATAAAAGTAAAAATCAAACAATTTAAATATGAAGGGAGAGATTCTTGATGCGTTCAGAAACAAGAGTACATCATCATTAACCGCCCGTCAACTAACTAGTATACAGCAATCTATAACAACGGCCCAGACAAGCAGAGACCTTGAATGACCTTTGACCTTGATTTGTGACTTTGACCTTGGAGCTGGGGTGATGAAGAGTGTGATGATGTATTTGTGTCATTTCATTAAGTTACCTTGAGCAAATCAGAAGTTCTGCCTCCGTCATAAGAAAATTTACAGACTGACATATAATATTATTATTATTATTATTATTATTATTATTATTATTATTATTATTATTATTAATAATAATAATAATAATAATAATAATAATAATAATGAGCTTCATGTGAAAAATACATTTTCACTTCACATGTGAAAACACAAACCAACATTTAGCACATGTGAAACTGTCCAAATCTGAGTCTTTGTTGTTTTTGTTGTTGTTGTTTTGTTCTGTTGTGTTCAGGTTGTGTTCCTCTGAGCTTTCAGACGCTTCAGTCAGCCGGCCACGCCCACATACACCTGCTCCCCGTTTCACCTGTCACAGCTGCAGACAAATCTGTGTGTATCTGCAGATGTTTGTGTGTATGTGTGTAACTGCAGATGTTTGTGTGTACCTGCAGGTTTGTGTGTACCTGCAGATGTTTGTTTGTACCTGCAGATGTTTGTTTGTACCTGCAGATGTTTGTTGTACCTGCAGATGTTTGT